GATGGATGAAGTTTGGTTTTATGGGGATGCCAAGGGAGTGATTGAGAAGATTCTGCGTCGGGATGCTCGGGATATGAAGGGAGGGCGCATACTTGTGGAAATTGAGGAGTTGCGGAGGCAATATCGGTCTTTTGGTGTTTCTTTTGTTGGCAGGAATGACAATCGGGTGGCTCATGATGTAGCCAGGAAGACCCTCTCTTTGTTATCTGCTGTTGTTGCGAGTTTTGATTTTGATCAGTGGTTTCTTTTTGGATTGTAAACTTTGATATCTTTGATTTGGTAATGCCAGTTATCAATTGCAAAAAAAAAAAAAAAAAGAGTGTGCTTCTGTTCAACAAGTGTGGAGTGTGGACTGCAATTCAAAGAGGCTATATAGGAACTCAGACTCCTGCTACTTCTCCTCGCAGTATGGATGGCAAGTTATCTTTGTGAACGGCTATTTGCTGGAAACCAAATTGCTATCTGCCGCCAACTAAAAAAAAATAAAAATATTTTTTTTTAATTTTCCTTCCTTCCCTTCCTTTCATTCTATAAATTCGGATACCATTAACATCTGATTCATTCCAACAAAAACTTCTGTCGACGAGCCCAGTGCCTCCGTCATCGGCACTGTTCCTCCGTCGTCGGCCAACCTCCCGTCGCCCTCAATCGTCGGAAAATAAGTAAGTTTACTTTTTCCGGCAAGTTTTCCAATTTTCATGCGAAAAACATGGTGGCCGGAAAAAAATTACGGACGGAACGCCGCCGAGCCGAAAGTATTTTTTGGCCAGGCGTGAAGTCGGCCGAAAATTTCTTTCGGCCCGGCGGCGCCGCGGCCGCAAATGTTTTTCGGCCGGTCGCCGAACACGCCGGCCAAAATTCTTCCGGCGGCGTGTTCGTCGGCCGGCCGAAAAAATTTTGCGGCCGGGGCGACGTCTGGCCGAAAGAGATTTTCGGCTGGGCGTCGCACCGGCCGCAAAATGTTTTTCGGCCCGGCTGCGCTCTGGCCGCAAAAATATTTCGGCCCGGCAACGCACAGGCCGCAAAATATTTTCGGCCCGACGGCGCACCGGCCGCAAAATGTTTTCGGCCCGCCGACGCACCGCCCGCTGTTTTTTTTCGGCCCGACAGGTTTTTGCATTTAATTTAATATGTTAATTAATTAGTCAATAAAAAATTAGGGCAAAGACAATATATTAGCCATAACTATTAAGCAGCGGGGAATTATAGCCACAACTATCGAAATACAAATTATTAGCCAATCGCTAAGTTTTCGTTAACAGCTCTGTTAGTAATGATGACTAAACTTTTACGATGCTGAGTTGGCTCCCACGTGGCAGTCATCATATAATATTTTTTACTAATGCTGACATGGCCTTCTCCGTTAAAAATTTGAAAACAGTAATGGCTGTTAGCCAAATCTTGACCTGCAACTATAGTTATGGCTAATAATTTGTATTTCGATAGTTGTGGCTATAATTCCCCGCTACTTAATAGTTATGGCTAATATATTGTATTTACCCAAAAAATTACTTAATTAGTTAATAGAAATTAGCAATTAGTGTTAATATTTATTTAAGTTAGTGTATAAATTTTTTTTAATAGGTGTATGAATGTTTAATTACTTAGATTAGTTAATATAAAATTAATTAATTAATAATTGATTTAACAATTAATGTTAATATTCAGTACATTAGTTAATAGAAAATTAATTAATTTGAGATTAATTAACAATTAATGTTAATAGTACATAAGTTAATAGAAATTTAATTAATTAGTGCGCATCTAAGTATGATATTGTGTAAATTTGTAGATAATTAGATATGGATGATGCGGGGTGGGAGTGAGTTGCATAGATTCGATGGTAGGGTTGTTGATGCATCAACACGAAGGAATGTGCCTAAGAAGAATAAGGAGAAGAAGCGCTCTCGAGATATTGGATATCAGTCAGAGGCAAATTTAGGGGAGGATGAGTTAGAGGCTCCTACTGTAGTTGCTCGTTCAGCATCATGGGCGTCTGGTTCAGTGACTTGTGCAGTTCATTCACTACTTCCAGAAACTGATGTTCCATATAGTTGTGGTTCTTCGCAAAACAAGTGTCAATCGCTCCTCTACCAGACACAAGGAAAGTCTTGAATGAAGAGTGAGATCACTCAACTCTATTCGAGCTCGTGTTACCAAGATGAAACACATGGTTCGTGTAGCACTTTGCCCACATTGTCTGATGAGGCAACCACTCAGCTCGCACGTAGTCGACCATTTTTATGTTCTTCTCTGTCCAGACCAATGTTGTCAGAACCGAACTGGAGCATGACCCGATAACTTGAATGGCTCGCACTTCAGTGGTCGAACCAATATTGAGCCGTTAAAAACCCGTTAGAGAACCGGTACCTTATAAACAATATAATATCATAGCAGAACACACATAAAGTAATAATTCAATGATTCAATGAGTAAAAATGATAATTACAGGTACCATTTAGTAATTCTACACAACATATATATACAGCAACTAAAAACAAACCCTAACCTAATCCTAAGTGGCAGCGCCGCTTCCCCACCCCTCACTCTCCTTCCTTCCGCTTCCCCCATCCCCCGTCCCTCTCTCCTTCCTCCTCTCCCACCGCCGCACCTATTTTCATTTTTCAGCCACTATAGCCTTCTGCAATTCCTCAAAAATCCATCATCACATTCAATTCTTCTTCATCCTCTCTTAACCCGTAAATGGTCTTCCTCGTCCCAATCCGTGAAATGGCTCGGATTCAATCCAAGCCTCTAGTGAAAGTGAAATAGGGCAGCTTAGCAGGGAGCTGCTTGCGACGGTGGAGACGGGACGGAAGCGTCCGGAGCGGGGAGCTGCTTGCTATAACAAGGACTGGCGATGGTGATGCGATGGCGATGTGGTGGCGACTGGGGATGGCGATGCCGTTGGGAAGCGCCAATGCCGGGACAAGAGGTGTTGACGGCGGCAGGGTGGCGCCGCTCTTCTCCCTCTGTAGTCTGTTCTAGGGCCGAAGATGAAGAAATGAAATGAATTAGAGTTAGGGTTTTGTTTGGCTGCGCCAGACCCACGATTTCCCTTGCCCTTCTCGATTTCAATTTTCAATTTTTTTTAGGTAAACAAAACGGGCGGAAGGGGGGATCCACGAGACCGGCCCGAGCGGCTCGAGAGGTTAACCGCCTCGGCCGCTTGCCGGCCGCTGTATAAATTCGGAGCGGCTCGAGAGGTTAACCGCCTTGACTTTGATATCATGATGCACACCCCCTTCAATATTGAGTGTCGTCTTCTGCTGATTTGGTCTCATCCCCGCCTTCCACATTAATCTTAACCTCTCTTTTTCAGCCTCACTAAACTGTTTGTTGTGTCGGTGATGTTTTGGATACAACACTTTTTCATGATTGTGAAACCCTCTATTAGCTCCGGTTACACGACTTATCACTCCCACTATGACCCATGTGTTTGGACCATTCTCCTGCCATACTTCCTTAATACATATATGAAACTGGGAACCAATCCCCTTCGAACTAATATTCCCACGCGACTCCTTCGTAGGGTCTGGTTTATAAGACTTAACGATCCTACTGCTTCTGTTGCAATACATACAGAGGGCAGTAACAGGATGTAGTCCAGCAGTATTCGGTTTCCATGCTCCTCTAACAATAAAGAACCCAAACTCCTGAGCGATTGTTTTTGCAGCTAACTTAGCTAACTTCACACTTGCATAATGGATCCCATTCCCAAATTCCTGTGTGTAACCACTCTGAAATTTTTCCTACAATTACAATATAACACATCAATATTTCTGTGAACCTAAACGCTAATTTCAAGTCTTAACCGCTAAATTCAACTCCTAAACTCTAAATTCAATTCTTACACGCTAAATTCAACTCTTAAACGCTAAATTCAACTCCTAGAATTGAATTTTTTCGAAAATTTCCAAACACAGACGGTGGGCCGAAATTTTTTGACCGCCGTAACCTGGCCCTGTCTGGTTCCGGCCGCCGGAAAATTTCGGCCCACCGTCTGTTCGTTGCAAATCGTCGGAAAAATTGTTCAAAACTACAAAAAATTGACGCACCTGCTTAGTGATGATTCATGGATGCGTGTCCGCAGTTTACGTCGACGATGGGCTTTCCCGATGATTTTCCGGCGACTTTTCCGGCGAGCGTTGATTTTTTCTGATTCAATACGTTTTCTGAAAGTTGAATATGTTGTAGATTGTGAAACTCATTAACCAAAGATGTACATATATGCTTTTTTTTTGGAGCAAATAGCAATTTGGTTGGTGGCAAATAGCAAGCCCCTTCTTTTTTTTTCTTTTTCCGTAATTAACCCCTTCTCTTTTTATATCCTTCATGCAGTTTTCTGGATGGTGTGGTTCGAGAGCAATCAACGCATCTTCAATCAAAATCAAGACACGCCCTTGAATACTGCTCGGAAGATTGTGAAAAATGTAATTAATTGGATCGTTGCCCATAAAAAGATTGACAGGAATCAAGCCAATCAGTGGATGCATCACACACTGCAAAAAGTTTAATTTTGTTGCATTTGCTCTTCCTGTACGTGTTCTCTGGCCGGGTTTCTTACCTGAGAGGGATTGCTGTTGCATTGTGTTTTAGCAGCTTTCTACTTTTCTTTGGAGCTCGTTTTCTTCTCGACTTTCTTTCCTTTGTCTTCTTTTTTCTTCTTCCTTGTTTCCTTTTGCAGAATGTGGTTGTCTCGGTTCAACTTTTTCTGGCTGGATCATCTCTCTTGATCCTTCTTGGATTTGTTTGTTTTGTACCTCTGTATTGTTTTCCTTCATCTTAATGCAATTCACCCTTATCAATAATAATAATAATAAGTTGAACTCGAACTCAGCTCGCTTATTGAAACATTTAACTAATTTATAATTAAATATTCAAACATATATATGTTATACATGGATTGATGATTGATCTCATGAAGAAAAAAGAGCAAATAATTAATTTTTTATCAATAATTGATCATGTTTATATACTTGGTAGTTGGTTGATATAAGCTTATTAATTTTAATTTATTTAATTCAAAGTAGCATCTAAATAATTTATTTTTAGACTATAAAGAGGCATTTGTTTATCAACTCAAACGTCTTACACATCAATAATATATAATTAACTTATGAATTATCAACAAGGTAGATATAGATGAATTCGTTATTAAATTGACAATTAAGTTGACTTACTAACCACAGTAATCAGACTTCTTATGATCTCAAAACGAGACCTCAACAAACCACTTAACTTAAACGGTCAGCTCATTTGCAACTATAATTAATAATGTACCATATTACCACCTACAACAAGATTAGGTACCAAAATTGATAATTTACAACGGAGACATACAGAGGAGAGACGGATCAGGTCAAGAAACCGTTAGGTCAATTCCCGCCAAACAAACTCAGCCGTTTTTCTTCTGTTTCTTTCAAATAAATAATAAATTAACGCATCCATCTCCCCATTTTCATGGTCATCATCTTCCTCTTCTTGTTGGCACGATGCTTAGCCGCAACCTTGAGCTTCCTCTTGGCGTTTCTCGTTGGATTCACCACAGCCATCACCTTCTCTTCTTGCTTCCTCTTGTCTCTCTTTGCTTTCATGCTCTTCCTTATCTTGCTGTTAATCTGAACAAATATCTCGTTGCCTACTGCCTTCTCGACGCTTTCGTACACTTCTTTAGCTAGTGGCTTCACATCATCTGAAAAAAGGTCGATCGATTTGTCGATTCAGTCAACACATGTTTCTTTCCTTTTCTTCTTCTTTTTCTTTCGCATACACATAAATGATCAATAGCAGAGAGGGAATGAGTGAACAACACTACTACTTACCGGAGATAACTCTGCCAGCAAAACCTTCAGAGACTTTGTATGCAAGCAACAGCATATCATGAGCATAGTGTTGTAAGTCTCCAAGATCGGTTTGCTGGGATAAACTCTTGTAGCAATCAAGAACTATTTTGGTCTACATGGGAAGAAAGAACATAGAGATTGAACAAACCATCAGGATTTAATAATTATAAATCTGGAAATTATAATAAGAATAGTAGTAGTATTAATAATACCAACCTGTGTATCCTCAGTCTGAAGAGCTATCTCTCCAAGTTTTCTGAGCAAACTGGAAACAAGAAGATGCTGAACATCTCCTCCTCCCTCGCCTTCGTCACATTCATCATCTTCAGCATTAGCACCACATATGACATGTAAGAAGGCACCTCTTCCCTTTTTATAATCCAGCAGCTTGAAACCTTTAAGGAACCCACCCTTCTCCTTCAATAATAATGCGTGAGGATCCTCCATTCTGGAGACCAAATCACGGATTTCATTGATGGCAAAGATGAGATTCTTCTTAATGATTTCGCCTGCAGCCTCATCTATGGATCGTGTTTTGAGTTGGCAGCAGAGGGAACCAGCAAGCTGGAAGAGTCTGCTTGGTTTCAGAAGGAAAAACTCTTCATTCGCCTCCCTGCTACCCTTCTTTCTGCGGCTTTTTACAGTGGAGAAGTATAAATCAACAAGTCGGCTTGATACGTTGCGCAACCATGTATGCGGATGAACAAGGGACTGGATCACCGATTCCCATAGATCCTGCAAACACCAACCATTTATAGAAAATTGAAAAGGAGAAAAAGGCAGCATGAAATACTCTATTGCAGCAACTGGAAATACGTCAAACATGCATATCAGTCGAGGGTAAAAGTCCTCAAGCCAAGGTGGAGGTGGCTCAAACAATTTCGTGACAGAAACATGCTTCTATATTCCTAATCTAGATTGGTGTGGAACGTCAGAAATCCCTTAATGCTACACATTGCACGCACAGTGGTGAACAAAGATGCGATTAATTTACCCGTATAACAGATGATAACTAGCTCAATCATAAATGCTATGAAATGAAGGTTAAAATCGTACAGAACGTATCCACGACTGATGATGAAGCTTTTTCTTAATATAACACATAAAAAGCACCGAGAGCCTGAATAGATGATGCAACTTCTCCAGCAGACGATCATGAGAACAATATATTAATTCCCAAGTAAGGTTTATCATACCTCAAATTTACTCTCAAAGCCTAGTTCAGTGAATCGTTTAACAATCTTCTCGAGGAGAACCAGCGAATAATAAGCCTCTTTCCAATAAGGAATAGATTCATCAGAATGATCTGGTGCTTCAATGACAGCTTCTGAAGCAGACCGTAAAATCTTTTCAATGTCTGGCAAAATAATGTCAATATGTTTCTGGGAGACTTCCTTTGCACCCTCTACAATTAATCCGAGCACCTGCAAACCAAAGTTTAGAGGTGATATATACATATTTTGGTGAATTAAGGAAAAATTGGAGGTTGAAAAGAGATTAGGTTCTTTACCTGAGCACCAGGACTTCGAACTCGTGACCGCTCATCCTTGTACCAAGACAGACTAATGTCAAAAAAGGACCTAAAACTGTTTCGCTTTGTATGTCGGACTAGAAGTTTTATGGCAGTAGCCGCCAAGGAACGGACTTCACTGTCTTCGTCATTGGCCAAACACAGCCCCAAATGGAGAAACAAGGAACCTGCATGCTCATCAAGAAATCTCTGCGGCAATTTCACAATAATGGTGTGAAGCATTCCAAGTACTGCTTTTCTTCCAGATGGATACACATAACTGAAAGGAATCGCAAAGTTTAGTTAAGTCCCAAATTAGGGGTACTGCAAGCAAACCCATGGGGTGATGGGCATGTTGCTATTTGACATATGACTTGTAAAGGAAAAAAGACAAGTGAAAATAATTAAAAGCAACAAACCTCAAATTTTTTTGCAGAAATTTTAGCTGCTGGTCCAAGTATTTATCTGTAAGTTTGTATTCACGCAAAAATTGCAGAAGAATCTGACTGCATTTCTTTTGAACAGATTCGACTTGACTAGTCACCATGAGTTCTGCTACTCGTAGTATGAGATCATATATTTCAGGAACCACCAACTTCCGTCTCACTATTGCTAACAGAAGTGAGAGCGCAACATGTGAAGGATTCCTTTCAAGATCCAGAAACAGTGGGAACTGAATAAGCATATGCAGTTGATCAGAGGAAAGAGTAACCCTGGTGCTCTGGAGGAGGGCCACCAACAATCTTAGACACGACTCCATTAGAGGGCTGTTAGCATTTATAGAACTCTCAGCAATATCTAATGAAGTGACCTTTATTTTATCAGCCTGAGAAGTAAGCGATGGCAGGGGGAGCCTAACCAGTTTGGTAAGACATCTAAGGGATGCAGACAAAATATCTTCATACTTTGTACTCAGGCAACTACCTAGCAACTTCACAAACGGATCCAACTTTGACAAGAGCTCTTCACCACACTTGCCCGATTTCGGAAGAACCTTCATGTGGTCTTCATCACTCTCATCAGACTTATGGCTCTTCATGCGTTTGTAGAATAAGTCAAGAGCAAACACTGTAATAAGATGTGAGCATGCCGGCCTTGTCTTGACAAATGGAGTAGCAGAAACTCTTTTTCCACGCTGCACTTCTCTGTTCAAGTGTGGCTTAGACCCTCCAATAAAAGTCCCCTCCCCTGCACTTTCTTCATTAATACCTCTTTCAATAAGGATATATATGAAAGTAAAGAGATCAGTTGGATCAACAAAAGGGTTCTTCTCGATTCCAGCAGCTATTTGATTCAGCATGCTCTCCAGCTTTGTTTTCTTTTTCGGCGTTAGATGCTCCTGCATGTGAGCTGTTACAGGCAAAAGAAGTTTTGAGGAAATGCCATTTTCTTTTGAGGAAAATGCAATGCTTTTGAATGAAATATTCTCCGCAATTAATTTCAAGGTATCAAATGACATCCTCTTCCTGGTTTCCTTCATCTTCGAAGCAATCTTATCGACTTCCTTCTCTTCAGCAACATCCCCCAGAATATCTTTCTCCACTACTTGAAGTAAATCCTCTATACAGTAATCCAATTTCACATTTGGGGATGGCGATTTCAGTTTTCTAACCAGCTCCACCTGACCTGGCCTGACCAGTTCTGGGCTGGTATTACCTGCCCTGCCAGTAGCATGGAGTGGGGTGGCATTGCCACTCCTACTCACATCCTCGTTACTATTGTCCGAATTGTCACTTTCGGGAGTTGATAGGAGCTTTGACAAAAGAAAATGGAGAGTATAGCCCAACACATGGAGCTCATATCCTCGTTTTAATGTGCCTTGGAGAACCTTCACAATAAGCTGCAAGTATTCAGGGCCAAGCTCTTTTAAACAGGCAGCCAACGCGACCCTTGCTTCATCACGGATGCTCACCATATGACTCTTCAGATGATTTGCAATGCGATGGATAATACTAGGAAGTTGTGCATCCAATCTATCCCCAGGAAGCAACTTTAGAACTTTAAGTGAAACCACACTAATTGTGACATTGACTTTGTCAGAATCTGAACCAAGTAACTTCTGTATCCTCGGAAGAACAACCTTTTGAAGACACTCCTGTATCTCAGCCTCTTCAAGTGCATACTCTTCTACTCCTCGAGTGGAACTGGCATGTGAAAAGTGGAAGTTATCCAATACAGAACAAGCTAGCCTCAGCAAGATCTTCTGCTTGTCCAGCTTCTTATCCATTTCTTGGAAACACCTCAATAAAAGTGAATAGTATGATTTCCATCCCACATGGGCTGAAATAGAGGCGAGAGCATCTGCATATACACCTTTCATATGCTCTCCTTTCCCAACTTGGACATCAAGCATCATGTTGAAAAAGAGTGGCATAAACACTTTGTTTATAATGCCCTGCACAAAACACATGAAAAATAATATCAGTTCCGCAAATCCTATTTCAAGAATATTAGTCAACCAACAAATTAACAGCAACACTTGCCTCTGACATGCTACTTCCACTGATTTTACTCTTGAACCTTGTGAGCGCCTTGGCCCTCATATGCTTCTGCAATTCCAGCAAGGAATTAGCATATGTTATTATGTCGAAACATACTTGGTAAACATCTTCCCAAATAGTTTTGCATGAAGTCCCCACAAGAACGCAAGCAACCCCCCACCCTCCACAGGAGGCAACACATTTATATGTTTCTTACTCGAAGAAGTGTATCTATATTGAACATTTACCTGCAAATGGATAATATTCTTAAAGAAGTCCTGGTCAGCATCTTCAGAACACAGAGCTCTGAACGACCCAAGATTTGAAACCTCTGGAAGCTTCAAGACCATATCTCGCAGCAACTCAATCCATTCCTGTAACATTGCTCTGATGCATTAAGCAGAAATAAACTCATATTTAAAAAGAACAACGAGATCAATCCCGTTGTAACGGCTTCAATGGTAATGGAATAATAGACGTCTTGAGCTGGAGCAATCAAGCAGAAATAGATTTCACCACACCAGTTTGTGCTTTACCACTGTCATTGGAACTACTAATAATCATGACTTGCTTACCTTTCTAACTGTACTTCCTGCCTTCATAGCCTTTCCTATCTGGTTCAGAATGAATTTGTTTATCATCCGCCGGATGCTTTTACTTGTCCACGAACCCTCTTCATCAGATACGACTGCTTCCTCAGCCTCACCTTTGTCCTTTAATTCACCAAGAAACTGTGCAGAGAATTCAACAAATGACCGCATTGCTCTATAGGCACTATGCCTTACAATCAATTCGTCGGAGGACATATGACCAACACACTGTGACAGAACAATGATTGCGTGATATTCTTTGACACCGTAGAAGAACTCAACCCCGATCGTCTCATAACCCCGAACAATATTGTCATAATCAAGATCGTCCACATCTATTGTGGAATTCAATTTAAGCAGCAGTTCTGCCTGCAACGGAGTTTTGGAGAAAAATACCATAAGTGGAATGTCCATAAAACCAGGAACCAAGGATCAAGAAATGTAGATATGAAGGGGAAACAATCACGAAGAACTACCAGAAAGAGCAGAGAAGGATCAGTTTTAGCAAGAGCACCAAGAAGATCACAAACAGACACCCGGACATCCAGCTTCGCGGATATAAAAAGAGGTGAGACACAGTTGAGAATTTCTCGGGTGCTCTGATTTCCCAATAATGGCACAGTCTGTATAGTCTCCCGCACAATTTGCAAACACTTGATACAAGCATCTGCAGATAAATAACCAAATTAAGCATCACATAGTGAGTACTGAATGATATTGATCACGTTTATGAAGCACACTCACCAGAATCCTTGACTCGTGCAGCCAAAAGTTGAAGCGAGATGGTTAAAAATTGTTGTGCAGTTGGGAAATCATTCACATATTTTGACAACGATTTCAAAATCCCAACCACTACCTCCACTGCGGATGTGGTCCATTTCCTGGAATGTTGTAGATCAACCAAGGATGAGAGCCTGACATTAAATAAGGCTTCCTTCGCAAACATATACTTAGCCACTGATAATTAACTACTGGCAATAGTAGCCCTATCCAATGGGGAGTACTTAAGCAATTGGAACTTTCAAACCAGGCAATGAAGCAATCGGATCTAGCTTATGTGGGCTAACATGCACACAGACGTTTCATGAAATGAGTCACCATATTTGACTGTAGATTTCTAAAGAAACTGAAAAAGGGAAGGTGACGGAATTCAAGTTGATTATAATACCTTTTTGTCATCTCATCGCCCTTCAACAGAGAATGCAAACTGCTGATCAGTTCTTTAAGATTCGGAAGAAGAACTCTCTTTATAGCATCGTCTTCATCAACATACTCTTGATCGAGAATCAACAGGTTCTCGATGAACGCGAGAACATGGGACACAATGGCCTCTGAAGCTGTTCTAACACTCAGAATTGAAAAGATACTAGGGACAAGACTGTTTTCTCGACACAGTAATGACACCAAATTGTGACTTTTACTCATAGCCACAAAACAAGAGAAGAGTGAGCTTGGCTTCTCACTACTAGAACCTTGATGCTTAAAACTGCTAATTAAGGGTTTTACAGATGAAAAGAACATATCCCAGAATTCACACCCAAAGTCATGGTCGTAGTACTTATTCAGAACGCCGGAGACAATTTTCAAGCACAAAGACCTCAAGTGCTTGAACTCCTTCGTCATAGAGACCACCTGCACAAAAATAAATATATAGTAATCTAACTAGGAAATTCACCAACCATAAACAACACCATAAAATGCAAGAATGGAGGAACGAAGTATAGTAGTAAAGCACAAGTTAAATTCAATCCATCACTTTTTCAGAGAGCAAAAGCATCACTAGCAAGATAAATGAACAATGTGCACCACAAGTCATTAGTCAACTGTTTAAGATTCAGTGCCTATAGGCTTACCGGTGTTTCATCCACTGCAGCTTCTTCTTCCTCACTTTGATCAGTTTCACCTGCTCCCTTTGGAGCTCCAAGACATAATGAACAGCTCACCAGTAGCCGAGCAACACAACCCATTAACAGATTGAGGAAAGGTCTGATATGCAATTCATCAAATTCTTCAAGAATAGCTTCAATCACATGCACAAAACCATATCTCTTGTCCCAGGAGAGGCCCAAAATATTTTCATTCGTAAAGTACTTCAGGAAGTTTGAAGGTTCAAATTGATGCATCGAATTCTCCGGTGCAGTCCAGCATAAAATTGCAGCATCATCAACTCCTCTAGGTAAGATGTCCAACCGTTTTACTAATGATGCATAGAAAAGAGATATTTCATTGATGTCAAGTTGTGCCATGAAGCGAAGAACTTCCTTCCGGAGACGTAGACTTGCATGCTAACAAAAACAAACATATGGGTCAGTTGATCAGAAGAAAAGAGCAACATAAAAATGTAACTCAATTGCTATGATGCTGTAGATTGCAAGTCTTTGAACGTCAAAACTTTTGAAATACCTTCCGAGATGCAAGACTCCTCAGATTTGTCACTTTTGGCATCAGAAGAACAATAATGAGAGGCACAAGATTCGGTCTGTGAAGTTCATCAATGGGGCAAGATTCTCTAGATATGCTCCAGGTTGTCAGTTCTTCTCTTAAAGTTTTTGGACTAATTAAATTTCTTAGATGATCCTGATATGGGACAAGAAACTCATCCTTCCATGTTAAGAGGCAATCAAGAACATCCATTTGTACATTGACATCGTTGTCATCCATCAGCCTGGCAAAAGCACCAATCAAATATTTTCAATTTTAGGACAAACAAAGTAATTTACTACAAAGATGAGTTCAACCACCAAATCCATTGCCAACCTAATGCATAGAATGTCTTTCACAAATTGAGTCCTGTACAAGGCCTTAGGGTTCTTCATAAGTTTCATTAAGTTCAACCACTCTTTGAGGATCCCTTTCCACTCTTTGCGTCTGCAAGCATCTGGGTTGAATGATCCTACACTGCAGTCCAAAATTAAGAAGCAAACCAAGAGCAAGATCCATCAAAGGTAAATCAGTACCACAGCACCAGGTAAAGAGATCATAAATGTAATTGGCTGTTGGCAGATGCTGAAAAGTATTATATGCCTACCTTTTGAGATCATCATCATTGTAACCCAAGAAATTCAAGAATAGAGGTACAATAGATCGAGAGCGGGCTTCAACGATGCAAGGAATTCTTTTTATGGACTGGAGCAATAATGGAAGGACCGATGAACCAAGGGTACGTTCAGAGGCAGATGTGACAAATGAATGAAAACGCTGTGACAAATCTGAACATCAAAGCAAAATAGAAGCTATAGCATCAGTGAAACAAAACATCACATAAAATGTAAGAAAAAAAAAAAGAGTGATCAGCCATACAAAGCATAAAAAAATCCCCCAATACTTTTCTTAACATTTTAAGACCTCATTGTACCAGGCATACTGGATTGTGCAAGTTATGTTTCATTTCAAGCTGTGGAATCAAACACCACAAAGTTCAGGCAAGCAACCATCCAGAAGACAGTAGAGCTGGTGGGACATACCACTTGACGATTCAGCTGATAAAGCAGTCACTCCGTCTTGCTGAGACTGAGACTTCAGAAACAGAGTTTGAAAATGTTGGAAGTAGTATAAAAACTGGTCCCACAGAAGCTCTACGTTTTTGTTAATTAAAACTGCAAGGCATTCAGATGCTGGATTCCAGAGATGACTAAAACCATTGTGAAGGATGCCGATCATTCCACTCAAAACGACCGGCAGATAAGTTTTAGATATCCTCTCAGCAACAAGATCTGTCTGTATAGCAGAGATCAGTAAGACAACTTTCCTACTGGTATGTGATGAGAGAGGAGTTTCTTCGATCGTGCGAAGAAGCTGGAGTGCCTGATATAAGAAGATACAAGTGATTAGATCAAGACTTCTAATAATAATTGTCAGAATGCAGGGGTACATACATTACTGGGAGATTTATCAACATGAAAACTCTGGGCGGCTTCAATTTTCATTTTCTTCGCAGGAGGTTGGTCATTGGACGAATCCGGTTGACCTTCTACTTCACAGTGACACAGAATTTTCAGAGTTGAGAGACGGACATTCTTGTCTGGGTTGGACAAATTATCCACAAACTCTGTATTTAAGATTTTAGTAGAGGTTTCTGCTTCGGCTCCATCCCTGGCAAATGAATGAATGCAATGATCTTAACACCAAAGATTCTATGCAGAACTCATGTGTATGACTACTCGATGCGAAAAGTAGTTCTTTACTGCCAACTTAAACAGTGAACAAGCGAAACCTACCGGAGGATCACATCCAGACAATCAGCACACGCAGCTAACACTTGTGGTGATGCCTTGTGTGCTCTAGCAGTTTCCAGAACATAGCTGGTTTTCTCAGGCCCAGGTTTCTCACTGAGCATGATGTAACAACTTAGGGCAGCACCAACAAGGCTTTGCCAAGTTTGTCTATCAGCACCTGCAATATTTTCTGGCAGGACAAGGAAAACAACTGAGACAAAGGCAAGAAAAGAAAAATAATATGATGCGACTTATATTCACCCTATAGGCCTCCGTGACACAATATGACACTTTTCTACATAGGATTGACAGGAAAATATTCGTCCTGGAAATCTTACACCAATAAAACAAATTAAAATCATACGAGTTTACCATAACTCACTGTTTTTAAGGAAAATTTTAACAAGGGGTCAATTTCCAAATGTGTAAACCTTCAATAAGATTGATCTCAGCGGAAATATGACCAGCAACTTCTATTTTTTGCGTTAAATGATGCTCAAGGACATATTACCAGTTTCATTCATCAGTAGGGCTTTTAGTGAATCCATCAACTGCATTATCAAGTTCGCATCAGCTCGAATACCACTGACATGAGGATAGCAGCACATGGCTCCCCATACCAATGGCAATTTGTCCGTATCAACCGTACATGACTGACCACAAACAGCACCATTCACTTCAGCAACACAGCCCTTTATGGTCCGCACAAGAAAGTCGTGAATTTTGCAAAGTGCAGGGCCAGAAGTTCCATCAAACAATGTTGAACCAGGAGACTCATTTTGGAGTCGCTCACAGAGGCACAAAAGTAGATGAACAAGATCTACCTGGTAGAGCTCTATCAAGTTATTCATGGCTCTGAAAGTTCAAGAAATTAAGTAAATGTAGGTGAAATTCTGTTAACAAACGAGAAATCAAATACAAAAAACCAAAAATATAATGTAGGGCTTAACCTTAAGATGCCAACTTGAAATACTTGTACTATACGCAAATCCTTCTCCATCAGTCCGCTGATAAATTCCAAACAGCTGAAAGGCCAACCACGAATGTTAAAGGATGGAACTGTGAAAGCAAGCCACAACGAACAGCAAGCATAAAAGGTCAAACTGTGGCATTCAAGACTAATACCTCTTGGTTTTAAGGTTGAAAACAGGACCCCATTGCAAGGAACAGTAAGCATACTTGCATTCATCATTCAAAGATTTCAGTCCATCAAGAATACATAGCATTAACTGCAGAAGATTATCGACAATCCCTGATAAATCATTCTCTTCTTTCCCAGCACCGAAAGGCTTGATAAATTTATCAACAACTGATCCAACACATTTTAGCATTGGCTGGTAATCTGCAAACATGTCAACCAGTTTTTAGTCTGGGATAGAAGAACAATTTATTGTCGCAACGAAAGCATAACAAGATAGTATAGCAGTCTCAAGAGTATTTTATCCTTTTCAATGGAAGTACACTTCACTTTGGCGAAGTCATTAAATTGTTTAATGGACGCAGCTGGAAAAAAGATGATATATTTTTACACCTTACCAGGAACATGTCGACCCTTGTTTATCTGTACCATTGATACCAGCAGTGCCAGAATTCGACTAAGATGCACCAAGGACATATCTCTTACACAACAATCCATGTTGTTATACAGGCAATCCCACAGAAAGTTTAACTCCTTGATCTCTTGGTCTTTGCACAATCTCTGGATCGTACTACTTACAACATCAACAACTGAATCTACAACAAAAGACACAATTCTGTCACATGCATAAACTACGGCCAAATTATGCACCATCAAGATGATTGCAAAAAGAATTTTCATATCACAAAAATTAAATCGTAGTGTTGACAATATGGTAATGAATGGCTGAAACAAGTACAAGTTGATTGATCAGCAATGCTATGCCCATATTAGGATGCTCGGAAACAAACTTTATTATGTTTTATCTGTTGAAAAATTAATGCATGATAGCCAGAAAATATAATCATTAATCAAGAAGGAAGACTCCTACTAGTGTACAAGATAACTGTAAGAAGTGGCCCCGCCATACGTCACTGGTAGTTAGATTATCAGCAAATTGATCCATTGCTTTTTGAATAAAGATTACAAAGATCAACATATAGGGGCAAAGCAAGGTGGCACACAATTTACAGATTGTCACCAGAGACAGTAATGAAGCACATACTTCAGAATGTAGTTACCTTGGTTATGATTCTTCAGAAGATCACCAATTAACAGTTGCAATATGCGCTCAGCTTTTGAGTGAAGACTGGATGACGTTACTTTGGTAGAATAATAAAGTAGAGCACTAACACCATCATTCCGTGCAAGTGATGGGTCGTCTACAGCCTCACCTATGACCTCCTTGACTCCTGTGATTAAAGATAAATGTTAACAATTTTGCATATGCCAACTTTAGCAACTTAGGTCACAGCAGCAAAGGTATCCAAGAATGTGAAATTTGACTTTTACAATCTAGTGAAAAGCGGAGAAAAGATACCAAAATGGTGTATTTACACTGAAACTACTCCACGAGTTACTTTAAACATTTACTAGAGATATATTGTTTCCTGCTCTTTCTCATGTAACAGCAAGAATACCAACATTGGTCATATAAGCACAGGAAACATATTAGCCTTAACTACTGATCAGAATATGCAACAGATATTGTTTACTGGTGAACAAAACTCAGTAAGTAGCAAAACAAAACACCTTGTTCCAACTGCTTGTGAGGAGCATTTCTCAGCAAGAAGGAAGTAGCCTCTGCCATAAACCTTCTTACATATTCCTTTGGGTAGTATCTCAATCTTTGTGACACCCTATTGAGAAAAAGGAGATAATTATTATGAATAGATTTAAAAAAAAATAATAATCAACTGACCTACCCAAGAAAGGTAACTCTAGAGAATATAAGTGCAAGCATTGAGAGTTCTCCGTTCTGATGGATGGGCATGGTAAAAAGGGGCTAATAAGAACAGCTCCAAGTAAAGGTGTTGAGAAGGCAAGGAAAAAGAAATATGACAGATAATCTCAGAAGCACAGATCAGAGGAGCATGCATAAGAAACGGCAGTGTAAACACACATAAAAATCTAGAATGAAATTACAGAGCAAATCATTTAATGCCAAGGCACTTACTTTAGTATCCCCACAATGTCCATTGTAAGCCACCCCTGGAGGTACATTAGAATGTATGACCACGTTGTGAAAATCTGTATACAAAACATACCTTGAGTTGACATCACCAGTTAACAATAACCACGACAAGGACTTACAATGCAGTAGATGATTGCACACACCTGCTCGAGAATGTCCGGATCCTGGTCAGCACCACTTTCAAGTAGGGAGACCAACGAACGAACAACCCTTGGCAAATAGCTAATAGTGAAGCACAACACACAAGTCAAAAAGCGCAAATACACAACCATGGGGCATTGCAGAAAATTTACCAACATAATTTTAAGACAAAATCCTGAGCAAGCAGCCTGCACTACTATTCTATCTCCCTCGTGGTAGGGTTTTATTGCACTTACAAAGATAAGTGAAGTGGACACATCAATCACTTCTAATATCACTTCCATTTACTACTCTCATTATCTTCATCCCATGGTTTTTAATAGGACATCTCACAAACCTCTCATAAGATTTTGTTTCAACAGTATATGCCCGGCTGCGATTGAGAATGACCAGCTTGTCTTATGTAATATCTAGTGTTTTCTATTTACATAGTGACCCATTCTTCAAGTGCCCATTGCAGTTTAGATATTATAGCTCACAAGCCCCTTGGTAAGTATAAGCTGTGTCAAGGAGATTACAAGGCCATCAACGCTCGTCCAAGACTACTAAACTACTCACATTTAACAACTAATAAAGCTGAAAGACTTGCAACTACAGTCGATAAATATCCACCCAAAGAAAACATCAACATGAAGGTGAATGATGAAAATTAAATAAAAAGATAACAACGAACTATGCAGAACTGCTGAATTGCTGAAACAAGATACTCACACAATGAAGTCTTCCAGGAGATCTCTAGATAGAGCTGCAGTCAACCTATCCAATCAGCAATTTCTTAATCAGAGACAAAAGCAAGCTAAGGAACTATACGATATAAAAGAAACTATTAAATTAGTCCACCAACTAACAAGCTGGGCATCAAAATTTCACATAACAACAATATGCATGAAAAGTAACATCATTAACAAAACCACCTTACAGAACTAGTGACTGGACACAATAACTTATTTCTTGGCCAGCCATCCATCAACTTACAAAATGACCTTCAGCCCATGCCATGTTGTCCTATGGGGAAATCTAAGGTCATTGAATCTTTGGATGGCAAGATACTGATAGCAAATAGGAATAATGACGCCACTATTTGTTTCAACTATTCCAGTTTTGTATTTACCCATTCTAAGTGGCTACTTCCTACTGGCCACAGTGAGAATCCTGAAGTTCAAACAAGGGGTTTCTGCACTCGGTTCAAATTCTATGTCACTTCTATAGCGCATGAACCTGTTCTCAGCTCCGCTCAGTAAATCATAAGGATTTCACGTTTACTTACGACAACAGGCAAGAAGCCTTTACTAATGGAAGAGATATTAGTGCACCAGAAAGGGTACAGTCGACTTCATGCCCACACCACATACACATGAGTTCACATCACAACTTTAAACAAGCTACCGACATCAAGTAAACGGGTGACAATTAACAATTAACTGAATTGGAGAGTAAATTAGTAGTGATTTACCTGAGAATCGGCTCAAGAGATAGGCGTGCTTGCATCTGTAGTCTGGATAGCAGCGCCGAGACAATAAATTCCTTATGCAATGCCAAGGATTTCGAACTCTGTACTAAGGGCGACATTTCGTCATAAAGAGTAATGAAGTCTTCAGCAGTGTTCAATTCCTGTATGTTCAAATTCGAGGAATTAAGAAGAAGAAAAAGAGCGCAGAACTTATATATTTTGAAATTTTTTATCAAATTGCAGGATTCCTGAACCACGTCAACGGGCCCAAATCAGCAGCCAATGGAAGGGGTGAAAGTACTCCATATTAACTAACATCTTAAAACCTCCAAAGAACACACTAGCCATGATAATTGGACTAGTTGATAAGAAACTCTAGCAGATGATCTGTAAACTAACAAGTCCGGGACATTGGCAACAGAGCAGGAAATCAAAATGCTAATCTTAAAGACCGTACCCTCCATTCCTTCAGGCAGTCGTTGAAGAAAGTCCCATAGGAAGGCTCCTGCTTGATTCTATCAAGGCTTCTGAAGACATTAACTTCAAGTCCTTCTATTTTCTGGGAAAAGGACTTGAACTGCGCAAAACCAACCAACGAAACAAAAATATCCAGGTGAACCACGGTGGGAGAAAAACGAACAGCTGTAAAGTGGGAGAATGATTGAATTCCTATTCAATTGAGCTTCTTAAGCCGGACTCCTGAGTTAAAGCTTAACTTTGCCCCATTACCAGTGCGGCAAGCAGACCAAAAAAGCTCAAACATAGTTCTCATCTCCGATGCAACGAACAACAGCTTTCCTGCAGCCTTTTCAAGATAAAGAGCCGGAGAGCTTACCACAAACCGGCCGCGACCAGCGGACTGGTTGAGAGACTTCACAGCCACAGCATGGGAAGGCGTCGCCATTAGAAGAGAATTTCTGCTTCTCCCTTCCTTCTTTCTTCTTCTTTCGCTCGCCGGAGAGCTGCTTTACTGGAACCTAGGCTGTGGCGGCACCTTTGGCGGAGTAAAAAGTATAAACCCCTCGCCGCCGCCCTTAAACCCTTCACTAGATGCACGATTTCTCTCTCGTCGCCCGCCGTCCTTAGGTTATGTCCTTTCTCAATTCTCAACGGACTACTTACGGAGTTACGGTTATAAAACTAGAGCCGGGTCGGACAGTGGGTTGGACCAGATCGATAGTGATACCACTAACCAACTGGGTCAATAATGCCCGGTTCAGCCTCGGCTCATACTCGGCCGACTTGCCTGGTTAACTCCAAAACTACTACTTTTTTTTATGACAAAAAACTCTCACCACATTGGTGACGCCTCAAACATGCTAAACTCTAGGTCGCCGATCATCGATCGGATCTCTGATAGCTGGTCAGTGAGTGCTATTAAAACACTGTTACACCATCTGTAAAAAAAAAAAAACATTGTTACACCAACTTGGCGAAGATCAAAGACATGAAAAGTCTTACCTGTAAAAAACAAGTCTAGGAAGAATAATGTTATTATTATTTCTTCTCATCATACATGCATAATCATTTTGTTGATCATTAGGTAAAAAAAACAATTCATTGAAAGGGAATTAAACTTTTGGTCCAAATTGTAATGAATACTAAAGTCCACCAATTGGTGGCAAACAATCCAAAGATTATGTTAATTAAATTGGGTCTCGGTTCAATAAAGACGATGAACTGAGCAATCAAAACCTTCAAAACTACATTGACATATATGATTGGTAACCAAACAAATCATCAAGGAAAGGCGACCCAAAATGAATCAACGCACTCAAACTACTAATTATGAACTTGATAACATTGAATCTCAAAACTTCTCATAAATCTTTCAATCAAGGTTGAAACATGACATATAGAGTTTAGCTTATCGATTCATGGAGTGGGAGCAAGAGCGATTGCATGAGTGAGTGCAAGAGTGTAAAGCGTATATTTATTGATCCAGGGGTATCCAAGTGACTGGGTTATGGATCGCGAGGGGTGGTCGGAGTGACCCTTGGGTGACCAAGGCGACGCGGGATTATGGACCCTGAGGGTGGTTGGAGTTACCCCAGGATGGAAGAGGTGACCCAACCTGGTTGACTCCAAGAGTGGTCAGAATGGCTCTAGAATGGCAGAGGTGACTCGACCTATTTGACTCCGAGAGTGGTTGAACTTATCTCGGGGTGAGCAAAGTGACCCTAGGTGATTGACTCTGAGGGAGCCCTAGGTGACTGAGGTGACCTGTGGGTGGCCAGAGTCATTTCGGAGCTTTCAAGGTGCGGGGTTGATTGATCATATGGGTGGCCAGAGTGACCCTGAGGTGGGATAGCTGGAGTGGCCCCAATAATGAGGTTAAAACCACTCATAAAACGGGGGAAAACAAAATCTACATTCCTGAAAATCACAGGGAAACTTATAAAGCTTATGTGGCAAAGACATTTTCTTGAAGCCTTTTAATATATTTTAGGCAAAATATACTTCTATAGCCACAACTTTCACGTTTGTGACTGATATAGCCACAACTTTCGAAATACACGAAATAGCCAGAATTTTGATAGTTGTTTGCCAAATCAAGCCATTTCCATTACAAACTTTAACGGTGTTAGAGATTTCGTTAGCGAGGCTAACAGCATGCTGACTAGGATGCCAAATTGACGCACACTTTAGCGACAACTCAACCTTACTTGCCACGTCATAATTTCTTTAAAAATATTTTAAGCAAAATATACTTTCATACCCACAACTTCCACATTTGTGACAGTTATAGCCACAACTTTCACGTTTGTGACAGTTATAGCCACAATTTTTGTTTACAAGAAATAGCCAGATGGGTTTTTTTTTACAAATCTAGTCATTTCCATTACAAACTTTTGAAATACACGAAATAGTCGCGACCTTGACCTCGATTTCTTCTCAGGACTATGTTTGAGAGGGAATGCAACGAATCGGGCCAATTGACACCGATGAATGAGCTTCACCGAAAACAAAGAACAGTTGCACCCGCAACGGTCTCGAGGAATTTGAGGGGAAAATGCACTACGAGCTGCCACATCCTTCCTTCCCGACCCATCATTCTCTGTCTCCACCGGAGACACTGTCACCTCTTTCACCGCCACTTCTAATGCCTTCTTCTTCGCGGTCGTCGTCAGCATCTTCCTAGAAGCCTGTTTGCCTTCTTTCTCTCCATTTTTTAGTGACTCTGCCAAGCGTTCGAGGCTTTCTCCTTCAATCTAGCAATTAGGGATATGAATCGGCAATTTGGGAAATAAGGCCTCATTCTCCAGTCATACTATTAAGTGACACCATGAAAAGGATGGACAAAAGTTGATATTTTGTGTATTTCAAAACTTGTGGCTATAACTGTCACAAGAGTGAAAGGTGTGCCTATAATTGTCACAAATGAGAAAGTTGTGGCTGTGGAAATGTATTTTGCTTTTTATTTGTTAATCTACGGGGATCGCCAACTCAACATTTCCTTCAGTCCAATCATACTATTAAGTGACATCGTTAAAGGGATGAAGGAAAGTGACTATTTTATGTATTTTGAAAGTTATGGCTATAATTGTCACAAACGTGAAAGTTGTGGCTATTTAAGTGTATTTTGAATAAGGCAGTATACAAGCATAACAGAAGAATTATGTAGTCTTTTTCTTTCACTAGGTTTTTATCCCACAGGGGGTTTCCTAACAAGGTTTTAACGAGACATATTCTTAATTAATGGACATCCAAGGGGAAGTATTGTGAATAATAATGGATGTCCATCTATCATGCATCTACCCAACCACCATCTCCTAACCCCATCAATTATAGTAAAGATGGAGAATGGATCTGCAAGCATTGGTGCCTATATAAAGGCAAACTTGTAGAAGTCAAAGATATACACACCAAGCTATTTCCCTCTGTATCATTCCATCTCGTGTATCGATGTTCTTATATATGTTCCAGAGCATGGAATAAAAGTGGTGTTACTCTTTCTCTTCTATTTCGTGTTAATTGTGTTGTTTATTCCCGTCGCCGGGATAATTATTCATAACACGTTATCAGCATGATTGCTTTACATGCTCATGTGATACAATCCTAAATTTCTCCCTAGTTCATTCAGGATTGATCGTCAAAGATTCGAAGTTAATCCGTAAAATTTGCTTGACGATTTCAGGTGTCAACTTTGGACGAGCATAACTCGCTATTGGCTTGGTGAAAACTCGAGTTCTTGGGCTAGATTTGAACAAGAAGAACTGCTCTTTCCAATGGCACACTTTGGCGCTCAGCGGAAGTCGAGAAGCTATTCTTTCATGTCGATCAAGAAGCTAGCTCAACACCGGAAGGACAGCCAGATTTGTCTAAGTGTGGAACCGTGATCGAGGAGGCACCTTTGGAGCATTCATCGAAGAGATGGAAGAAGAGTCGAGGCTCGTGGATTGGTGTCCATGAAAGTGCACATCTTCTTCTACAACAACGTGGAATCGGGTGACGAGTTGGATCCCCGGAAGTGCTCAAACGAGGAGTCTCAAGATCGTATCGAGTCTATCGTGTTGCCAGAGAAATCCGAATCATGTTCGGATTAGGATTCGTTTGCAGTTTGATTCTTTTTCCTTTTTGAGTTGGATTTGCTTTCCTTGTTGAGTTGTAATCTATCTAGACTTCCTCTTCAAGTAGTTATATGGATTTAGGTTCTATTTAAAGTCAAGTTAACGATTGTAATAGTCAGCTTTTGAGAGTTAATCGAATAAACCGAGAGTTTATCGCCATAGCTTCGTGCTTGTGGAATTTGGAGATTGTCCTAGGGTTGTCTAGGCTCGATCTTGTGCTTGTATTGTTCAATTAGTCACATTGAGCATGGCCAAGCTTCGACTTATACTTCTCGAGCTTCTTTCCCTTCGTGAAAGCTGCACGAAAGTCCCATCCCCAACTAAACACGAGAACTTTGTTTTGGTGTTTGTTCTTCATTTTCCAGATTCGATCCAATCCCTGGATTGAGTCCCAGATGCGTTTCTCTGAGCAAAACACACTTTTGGGGCTTATCAAGTGGCATCGGAGCCTTGGTTCAAGCACAATGGACAAAACGAAGGATTCTGGAGCTGAATCGACGCGTTGGACACGATCGAAAGGTCCTGTCTCCAGTGACCCTGTAATTTTACGACAACAACACAAGCATCAAATCAAAGATCAATCCATGCGCAACAGACATTTGACATGGATGATTTGTTAGATCGAATGGAGGCAAGGTTTCATAATCAAATCCGGGAGCAACTGGACCAATTTAAGCGAGAAATCGATCAACGATTTGACGCAATTGCGCCGCCGGGAAACAGGGTACAAGAAGAAGAAGTTCGTGGTAACGTGAATCAAGCAGGCGATCCAGAATTATTGGGGAGAATTGAAGAGCTTGAACAACGCCACGTCAAGAACGGCGAGATAATCGAGAAGCAGAGCCGCCGGCGATTCCACCAGGAATCAAGTTGGCCGTCCCTGCGTTTCGGGCACGATCAATGCTACGACATACTTGGACTGGGAACGGAAGATGATCCTCTTCTTCTTGTGCAGGAATTATACAGAGCAACAAAAGGTAGCTCTAGACACCTTCGAGTTCACAAACTACGCTACTCAGTGGTGGAAAAAGATTCATCTTCGACGACGACAGAACTTGCAGCCAGAGGTGACGGACTGGGAAAAGCTACGTGGATTGATGCACGATCGATTCGTGCGGCTTACTATCAAAGGGAGCTCCACGAATCGATGCAGGCAATTCGACAAGGAGGACGGAGCGTGGAGGAGTACTTTCATGAATTGGAGCTTCTCCTAATGAGAGCTGATGTGCGAGAAGACAGGGGAGCGACAAACACTCGATTCCTCCATGGCCTGAGTCGAGAAATTCGACAGGAACTCGACTTGAGGTCTTTTGTAGACCCAGAGGAAGCATTGCACCTCACAATTAAAATAGAAAAGCAGAAAAAGGCGGTGACTGGCCGGAGGATTGCTCCGACAACCAGAACGGCAGCAGAGGAGAGTGGTGACCTCAATTGTGTCAAGTACGACCTGAAGCCACCAAACCTATCCCCAGAAACACGAATCCTGCTCCAATTGAGCGTTCGGGAGGGATCCATTGTTTCAAGTGTCATGGCAGGGGCCATAAGGCCAACCAATGCCCCAATGTGAAGGCTCTGGTGATCAGAGACGGTGCCTACCTCACCGACGATGAGCAGTCTGGGTCCATCGATGAGGAGAACATCGATGAGAAGATTGAAATGGAAGCTGTTGCGCCTGGAAACCTTCTAGGAGTCAGTAGGTGACACGCCAAAACACAACACCAATCTGCGACCAAGTGTAATCGCAGACCGGGAATGCAGTAACAGGCAAGTTATATTATCAACCCGGGGTCTAGATCTACTGCTTACTCAGTGATTCTCTGTTATCTAGCCAACTAGAGTAAGTGATTGTTGTTTAAACTAAAAGCAGAAATAAAGCAGGAAATTATTCGGTTTTCTTAAGCAGGAAAGAGTCACTCGGGAATGAATCCCCCTAGCTCTTTAGTTAGGTTTCAATTGCTATTTACCCTGGGTTGATTTACTGTTGATTAGACTGCGGAAGATCCGGCAGTAGCTTGGAATCTCTTAAGCTGACCAAGCCCTCTCAGTCTAACTACCCGGCAGACGACTAGTCTTCACCGGGATAGAAAGCTGAAGCAGTAAGAACAGAAATTCACTACTGGAATTAGATTCCAGTACAAAGCAGTAAATTGATTGACTCTCGCACAACCAATTCACCACTATCAATCAAGGAAGCTCTCTTAACCTAATCAGATTCTATCTATCATAGGTTAAAGCAGAAATCAAGAGAATTTGATCAAGATTCAATTGACTCAATAAAGCATGTCTCAATCGATTAAAACCAAACAGTAATATCATCCCAAGTCATTACAATCAATCCCTAACACATAGAACTAGGGTTCTTCATCCCCAAGTGAGAGAAGGGTTCTACTCCATAGAGAGAGAAGAGAAAACAAGAATCGGATTAGTCATACTCATAACGATGAGGATAATCTGCTCCGGGACGATGATTTTCACTCCTATGACAATCTCCAGGCTCGATTCGATGAAATCCAGCTCTAAGACAGCTTCTAGGATGTGTTCTTCGTACTTTCTCTCTCTAGGGCTCTGTTTTTGCTCTGAAAACACTGTTCTCTCACTTCTGGCTCGGATTAGGCTTTAAAACCGGGTTTCCCGAGTTGCACGGCCAGGGTGCACGGCCGTGCACCTCACCATTCTGGCCGTGCACTCTGAAACGCAGCGTATCCCTTAAGTCGAACTCAGGCTTCTTGCACGGCCAGGTGCACGGCCGTGCAATCTTCAGGGCCTGCCCGTGCATCTCCTCGGCATGAGGCGCACGGCCAGCTTGCAACCGTGCACGGCCGTGCAGCCTCCCTGGTCTGCCCGTGCAGCTCCCCAAAAACCTCGCCATTCGTCCGTTCTTCGTCCAATCGACCCCAGACTCGCTCCTAAGCCTTCATTCACGTACTAGGACCTGAAATATCACAAACAAGCACAACCTAGCGTGAAATCGGCCTAAAACACGAGAATCAACACCTCAAACGGTGTAAGAACGGGGGTAAAAACATGTGTAAATGACGGTCTATCAAACTCCCCCACACTTAACCGTTTGCTTGTCCCCAAGCAAACCAAGTCAGACACTAGGTAAGCCTACACATTTCAATCAACCAACATTGGGGACAAGTCATAAAGGCACAGAACACGTGAATCGCACTGGTTTTCAAACATCAATACATGCACAACCTCAATAACAACCTGGACAACCACCACAAAGGACATTCGAGTGCAGCAAATCGAGTAAAGGAAGAGTCTCCCGTCTGTTCACTGGCCAACCTAGACTTGATTCAACCACTTACTCAAAACAGTCAACTCATGCATCCAACTCAAGACATCAGAATAGAGACCGAGCAATCTAGGTCCTCACCGGGGTACAAGAGCATATAGAAAATGAAAATGAATCACTCACTCTCGACCAGTGGGGTCAGGACAATTTGATGCGAAAGATGCGCATGCTATTTCTCTCAATCCCTATCATCTCTTCACCATGATGGCAGCCTCTAAATGCTAGAGTTCACATATGGGGTGTCACCACTAACTAATCAGGAGGTCTTAGACACAGGTTCAAATGACTGGCTAGGGTCTTGGACATGGGGAAAAGGCCTTTTAGGTGGTGGAAGTATTCATAGCAAAAGGTTCCACATTTCCCGAACACACAAACACAGTCAGCAACCCGGTATTTTCTTTCTGCTATCCTGCATTACTCAATATCTTAAGAGCACAAGAGCGAAGGAGGCATAAACATCAGCATTTCCAAGCCAGACTGCTAAGAAACACTACTTACTGGGTATTATTCAGATTTTTGGTAGTGGCTCTCTTTTACTTTCAATTTTTTTTTCTTTGTTTCACTTTCATTTTTCTTTTCATTTCTTAAGAGAGCCACCCTCCTGCACATATTTCAAACATCCGCCCAACTTTTAAGCACTACCTCCAACACTCACATAGACTTTAGCAGAAACAGCAGAGAATATATAAAAACCACTCTGTGGAACCTTCTAAAAGATGCAACAAGGGTGATTTCTTTTCATTATAGACCAAAAGAAAGGATAACACACGGCTCAAAGGGGCTGACTAGGGGATATGACACATCAGGACAGTCAGTTTTGGGCGTGGGCTAATCCTATGCCCCCATCATCTCAGCTAGTGACAACGTGAATGCTACACATCATGGAAGAGGGATCTATCGCACAAGAAAGAAACGAGCAGGCTCAAATCTCACATGGCTACCTATATGCTCTATCTCATATTCTGCTACCCTGAACTAGATGCATAAACGACTGTTAAGAACAAGTAATCAGATCAAGTCAGATCAAGTCACAGTTGGCAAGCAAACAGTTGAAAAACTGAACCCCTACATCGTTCTACTGCACATCTCAGTCCTCATCATAGGTTGTCCTAGTCGCAAACAAGTTGTCATGCATTAATCCGAAAACCAATCGATTCATCCATCAAAACACAGTGCCAATATGATCAAACAACAGTACTTGGAGCCCTCAAATCGTAAGATTCAGACAGCGGACTAGGCTCCAAGCACCATCATAAATATTCCAACCGATACAAAGCATCCCCCCACACTTAAGAACGACATTGCCCTCAATGGAGCAGAGGGAAAGATAAGGGGAACGATGTTACCGGGTAGGAACACTGCTGGGGGACTGGAAGTGGACCAGTCAGCGAGAAACGAACGGGAGAGTGGACAATGCTGCACAAATCGAACATCAGAAACACACTAGCACACTGTGCGTTAGGGATAAGTGTTAGCCCAGACGGCTACATCAAACCACAAAGGAAAAACCAAAAACAAAAACAAACGACACTAAGTTCAAGCTCCGCACACATGGAGCAAACACACAAAAGTCTAAAATGAAAAAGAAAACACACTGAGACGGGCAACGAGTACAGCCTACTCGTCGCCAAGATCGTCGAGGTCGATGTCGTTCATGAACGCGTCATCATCCGCAGCGCCAGTAGCACCGTCATGTGGAGGGGAGTCATCCCAGGGAGTCCTCCAGACAGGTGGCTTGCCCGGGAGCAGCTGGAGCAGGTGCTGCTGGACCTCCTGCATGCGCCGGGAACGGCGCTTCTCCCGCTCGATGTGGGCAAGAGTCACGCCCTGCTGAGTCGAGATCGTGTTCAGCCGCTCGGCATAAGCATCCATCCTGGTCCGGTACTCGGCCTGGTCGGCCGCATACTGCTGATGGAACTGCATCTGGTGATCGAGGAGCAGCTGGTTCTGGATCCTCAGCTGCTCGAACTGCTGGGCGAAGTAATCCTGGCCCTGGAAAGCGGAGCTGCTACCCCCGAAATGGAAGTCAGTCTGTGGGGGATTATCAGCAGCATCAGCAGCAGCATCCACCTCCTCGGGATCCACCTCATCGGCAGCCTCCTCCTCCTCTGGTACGGGCTCCGCGGGGATCGGAGGCTCCGGAAACCCATCGACCCATTGAACACCGTTCCTCTCCCGCAACAGCAGCATCTTCCTGATCGTCGTGCGGCCAAAGATGAGGGTGTCCCCCTCCTCGGTGCACCCCTGCAGTGAAAGGCCAAAGAAGGTGGCCAGGCGGGTGATGAGGGGGGCGCAGTGGAGGCTCTTCAGCTCTGTGGCCGTCTTCTCGAAGGTCTTGGCCACCACTGAACCCAGGTGGAGAGGATGGCGGCGCTGGCGGATCGAATGGAGGAAGTACAGGGACCTCTTCGTGATGGCGCCGGCGCTGTCAGCTGCAGGAGTGTAAGACTTCGCCAGCAGGTGGTGGAGAAGTCGGTTGTCGATCTGCAGGGTAGAGGCCTTCGTCCTCCCGGACCGGAAGGGACGCGTCTGGCCTGGCCGAGCCAGGCTGGTGTACAGCCTCCCGAAGTCCACCTCCGGTGGCTCATTCACCTCGGTGACGTAGTCCTCACGGTCGTCGAGGTCGAGAGCCTCGGCCAGCTCGTGGTAGCTCAAGGACCGGGGGACCCCGCCCAGCCTGAATTGGACGGCCGTACCGTCCTGCCAGTTGTCCGTGGTATTGTGCTTGAAGGTCGTGTAGAACTCCCACACCGGCTCGTAGTAGACCTTCTCGCAGAGCTGGAGCAGACGGCGCCAGGCGGTGTTGGCGACCGCGGCGGAGAGCTGCTCGTAGCAGTGCAATCGCCGAAACTCCCGTTTGGACCAGCAATGTTGTGACCCAAACGGGGTTTCCGCGACCTCCTTGAAGCGCTCTGCGGTGGGTCCCCTCCTCAGATCCCGGATGAACGGGTGCTGGAAATTAGGTTTCGCCATTGCCCTGCAAAACAACAACCCAAAGTGGAACCCAAAAGAGCCAAAAAAAAAACCCAAAAGAGCCAAAGAAAAAGGTCAAGCGCACCCCCACACTTAAGAACAGAAAACAGCCTAACCATGGTTTCATCCATAGTTCGGGGGTCAAAATCTCGATAAATCAAGCAGAATCAGGGTGGGGGTGCACATTCACAAGAAAATAGGCAACTCAAGGTTCACATCCATAGCAAATACACCCTCAAACTACATCATTAAGGGCCCCAACCGGTGGCCACAACAGGGCATGGAAAACAGGCATTTCAGCGAACACCTTGTGTGCACTACTAAGTTAAACATGAAATTGGCCAAATTCTTGCACACAAGGGCTTAAACAATCAAAGGGGACTTTGCCCAACATAATTCAATCACATCCCATGCATTCCCCTCAATCAATTTCATAAGATTCACATGATTCAATAAGGTTCTCTAACATACACCCTACACACTCAATTCTCCACAATTAACATAGTTAGGGGCAAAATCAAACCTGGAGACTCAAGTAGAGGTGTAGGGAATGATGAGGGGAAGACAATGGAAGTGACGAAACGCCGAAAAACTGGCCGGAAATGCTCGTCGGAGTCTCGCCGGAAATCGCCTCCGGCGACGAAAACGTCGCCCAAACTCGCTCAAAATCGAGGGATAGGCCGCTTTGGGTGTAGAAAGAGTGGGTTTGTAGTTGGTTTGGTGAAAAAATTACCCAAAGTGGCCGAAAAAATCGAAAAAAGGTGGGTTTTGCGCGGTTTTCTGGCGAGGGCAGAGGATTCCGGCGAGTGGTTTTGGTTTTCTGACCACAATGGCCGTGCAGGCCATATAAATAGGCCGTGCCTCGGCTGCACGGGCAGGGGCGCACGGCCGTGCAAGGCTGGTTTTTGCCCGTGCAGCCGACACGGCCTGGCCGAGGAGAAGCGCACGACCGTGCACCTGGCACATATGGCCGTGCCATCCTTACCGAGAGCTCGCACGGCCAAGGGGGGATACCCGCACGGCCATGCGAGGCATCATGGTGCCCGTGCAAGACGCACGGCCAGGCCAGGACGAGCGCACGGCCGTGCAATAAGCGCTTTTGGCCGTGCGCTTTTGGCCGAGAGCTCGCACGGCCAAGGGGGGTTCCCGCACGGCCGTGCAAGTTGTGGTTCTGGCCGTGCGACTTGTTGGAGTCCCGAAATCAACCTGTTTTCGCTCAAAAACGACACGTAACTCTGGATCAACGTCTCAAGACTCAAAAACACACAAAATCAAAGGAAAAAGAGTAAGAAAATGCAAACCTCGGTGGGGTTGCCTCCCCACAAGCGCTTCTTTACCGTCTTTTAGCTGGACGCCAGTATGGATGCTCAGGGAAGTGTAGGATCAGGTGCCTTCAAGAGCGGATCCACATCGCTCTTGAGGTACAGCTTCAAATGGTGGCCATGCACGCGACGAATGTGGCCACCTGCATTCGCCAGCTCAACTTGGCCATCCGGTAGGATGCAAGCGAGTGAATACTCGGATGGCCAAGGAGGGGGCGGGACCAGCTCATAGTGGTCTCCGGCTTCCTTTCGAGCAGGCTTAGCTGCCGGCAGTTTCGGCCACCACTCCTCCTTGATCTGTTCTTTGGGTGACGGAGTGGTCCGGAGTGGCGGCGAAGGTGTGGGAGGCGGTTCCTGCAAAATAGGCAGCACAGAAGGATACACGACAGACTCGTGCTCCTGGTGAGATACAGCATGCAGAGGTGACGAAGCAGGTATATTATCAGCAACAGAAAACGTTATTCGCTCCTCGCCATCCCTCAAAACTAAGGTCCCATCATGCACATCTATGAGAGCCTTGGCGGTGGCCAGGAAAGGCCTTCCCAGTATAAGAGGCACTTCTGTGTCCTCACTGATGTCCAAGATAACAAAATCCACGGGATATGTGAATTTGCCAACCTTAACCAGAAGGTCTTCCACTATACCCCTAGGATGCACTACAGATCTGTCAGCTAATTGAAGGGTCATCCTAGTAGCACGGGGTTCACCTAGGCCTAGTTTCATGAACAATTTATATGGAATAACATTGATACTAGCACCTAAATCCGCCAAGGACTTCTCTACATGCAATTTATCAATAGAGCACGGGATAGTAAAACTACCTGGGTCCTTCTTCTTCTGCGGAAGCTTGTTTTGCAGAATAGCCGAGCATTCCTCGCTGAGCTCTACCGTGGCCAGCTCACTCAGCTTCTGCTTCTTTGAGAGAAGCTCTTTCAGAAACTTCGCATACTTTGGCATTTGCGATAGTGCCT